AAAAAGGAACTGCAATGGAGACCATAGGTATTATGGAACCCTTTAAGGAACCCTTTATAATCACAGAACCCTTTAAGGAACCCTTTAAGCAACCCTTTAAGGAACCCTCTATATAGGTAGGGTGAACTTTCGGCCGAGACCCCCCAGCCCGAAGTCATACCCTTCATACCCTGTAAGCTCTAAAAGCCCCAAGCCCTAAACCCTAAAAAGCCTAAACCCTAAATCCTAAACCCTAAACCCTAAAACCCGTTAACGCCTAAACCCTAAACCCCGAAACCCTAAAGCCCTAAACCCGAAACCCCTTTAGGGGTTTAGAGGTTTAGGCGTTAAGGGGCTTAGGGTTTAGGGTACGGTACGCGGGGAGAGCTCTTCAGCAATCCTTAAAAGAGCCGTTTGTGGAATGACATAGTTGGCATCAAGCGTATCCAGCGAGCCCGATTGCCGGTACTTCAGCAATATGCCTTACACTCTAAGCCGGGGATTACTAAGATGATTTAAGGTATGTTCTTGATTTCAGGGGTGGTTAAACCTGACACTAAGGCTCATATTTCGGCATAACAACCTCTATTCCTTCACTCGGGCTATCTGGGTATCCCTGCGCTCTGGACCCCCCGACACTATAACCCTAAACTCTCAACCCTAAATCCTCAACCCTAAACCCTTAAACCCGAAGCCCTAAACTCTAAAGCCCTAACCCTAAATCCTAAACCCCTAAACTCTCAATCCTCAACCCGAAATCCTCAACCCTAAACCCTTAAACTCGAAGCCCTAAACTCTAAAGCCCTAACCCTAAACCCTAAACCCCTAAACTTTCAATCCTCAACCCGAAATCCTCAACCCTAAACCCTTAAACCCGAAGCCCTAAACTCTAAGGCCCCAACCCAACCCTCAACCCGAAATCCTGAACCCTAAACTCTAAATCTCTACGCAGGAGGATGATCTCCACAGCACGGAGTTCAGACCGTCGAGTACCAAGACATTCCTTGTTGTCCCTTTTAAGGTTCAGGGTCTAGGCTTCAGGGTGCAGGTTTCCTTTAACTTAGGGGCCCAGTAGGTAAACGTTAAACTTTTTGGTATATTAAACCCCCTACTAAAAGAAAAGTTTAAAAGAAAAGTTTAATTTTTTTGGGCCAGGATACTGGGCTTCAAGGTTCAGGATTAAGGGTTTAGCGAGTTTTTGAGGGTTTAGGGTTTGGGGTTCATGTAAAGTTTTAGGGTTTAATTGGGGTTCATTAAAGGGTCAAAGTTATGGGTAGTCACAAGGGTTCAGGATCTTGGGTTCCTCAAAGGGTTTAGGGTTTAAGGTTCCTTAACGCGTTTAGCGTTAAGGGTTCCTGAAAGGGTTTACGGTTTGGGGTTCCTGTAAGGGTTTGTGGGTCGGGGCTCCTTTTTTAACGACCTAAAACACAGCGCAGAAGAGGACACATAATACTCATCCACTCCTCATCTCGGTTCCTGCCACCTCCAAACACCTACAAGTAAATGAGGAGACACAGTGGATGAATTGAGTTTTTAAAGCACACGTAACGAAGAAGAGTGCGTGTTCAGTTCGTTTAGTTCATACACAAGGAACGAAATCAGGAACAACAATATGATGAAGGGCTCCAAGTTGCGGTGGTTTCTGTTGTTGTCATTTTAATGTTAAATAAAGAGACGGCTCTTTCACTCTTTTCTTAAAAGACACAACAGAAACAAAGCACAGCACAAGGACCTACAATGAATAATAGAGGTACAAGATATGAAATGAAACAAGTGGGTGAATTCAATGTAATGAAATGAAACCAAGGAGTGAAGCAAATGGGTGTTCATTTCGTTAGTTAAATTTGACTACTTGAGATGGAAACAAAACAAGTACCGATTTTTTCACTCCATCAGGGCTTCTCGAAAGGTTTCTAGAAGGGTTCCTGTAAGGCTTACAGTGAGGCTTACCAGAAGGGCTCTTTAGGGCGTTAAGGGTTCTATACGAGTTTTGTTGGGGTTTAGGGGATTCGGTTTGAGGGTGAACCCTAGAACCTAAACCCCTAAACCCTAAACCCTGAACAGTACCCTAAGCCTAAACCTGTAGGGTTCCCTTAAAGTTTCCGTTGCAGGATACCTATACGGGTTCTCCAAGAAGGGTCTTTGGGGCTCAGGGTGTCAGCAGGGTTTGGGGTTTAGGGTTTAGGGTTTAGGGTTTAGGGTTTAGGGGTTTAGGGTTTAGGGTTTAGGGTTTAGGGTTCAGGGCTTTAGGGCTGAGGGTTAGAGGTTTTAGCGCTTGTGGTTGAGGGTTTTCCGTGCATAGGGTGTTAGCTTCCTAGCATCTAGAGATCCCGAAGGGGGGCTGCCATACCAGGCTTCTGGGCTCTTTGGCAGGCGGCATGAATAAAGACTGGATCATTGTTTGACTCTGGGCTCTGCCAAGTTGTTGGTGGAGTATTGGAGGATTTCGGATTGGAGCCGCCGTTGGGGTCAAGTGCGGTGGGAGGCGGGGAGTAGTGGTGGCGGTGGAGGTGCTGCTGGGGTGCACGCTTGCGCGAACATTTCAGCCTAGCCGAAACTTCAGCCCCCAACCTTGAACCTTAAACCCCTAAGCCCCAAAAGCCCGAATTGGAGAACCCGATAGGTCTCCCTAAAGGAGCCTTTTAAGGGAACCCTCAAGCCTATATCCCTAACAAACTTTAGCCCGTAAACTCTAAATCCTCAGCCGTTGCCTCCGAGGGCCCTGGCCGCCCGAAAGGAGTGGGCTACCGAACCACCGGCGAGTTTGCTGAAGTGCTGCATGTGGGTTTTCGATTTTTAGAGGGTTTACCTATAGTCTCCATTGTAGTTTTGGTTTGACAAATTCTATATTCAGGATCCTAAAAGGTAACCCCCAAAAGGAACTACAATGGAGACTCTATAGGTAGCGTTTAAGGGTTTTTAGAAGTGCCCGACTCGGGTGGGGACTCAACATGAAAGGTTTGGAACAGCCCAGGTGAGATCTAGCATAAAAGTCATGGATGCTATAGGCGTTTGCCTTAGATCCTACGCTACTCTTTAACACCAAACCCTAAACGCTTAACCCAAACGCCCCTAAACCTTAACTTAGGGGTACTTAGAAATGATTCTTAATCTTTGGTTACCAGAGTCCCTGAGAAACACCTATTTTTGTTGCTGGGGTCCCAAGTTCAGTATAGTAAACCCTAAGCCATAAACCCAAAACCCCAAGCCTGAACCAACCCTAAACCCTATAAGCCCTAAACCCTAAACCCTAAACCCTAGACCCCTTGCAAAGGGAGCCCTGTCGACCCTGAGGATAGCCCTGAGGTTCACGCGGGGCTTATTTATGAAAGGCTTTCTGCTTTGGTGGGGGGGATACTTCTAACAAGTGTCTTGCTTGTCGGGATCTATATCAGGTCTCTAAATTAGTGTCCCTTGTTGGATCCCAACAATAATTATTGCGGCACCCTCTTAATCAAGGACCCTAAAAGGGACCCCAATTTGGAGAACTACCCATGTTCGGTCCCAGCTTCATTGTCGTGTGGCCTGGGCCAAACAGAAGCACGCGGCATCTTCCCGTTCTGCATCGCGAGGCTTATAAGCGGAAACACGGACCTTACCTAGACCTGTATGACCTTCCTCTTTAAGTAAGAGCTTATAGAAAGGAAGTCATAACATGGAACCCTAAACGGGTAGGTTCTTTAGGGTCCAGGTAGGTTGTGCTTTCTTCCGGCCAGGTGGCCTCTTTCCAGAAGCTGAATGAAACGATCCTCTCGCGCTCCAAGCGCTCCCAATTGGTTGCCGGATGCCCGGTTTCATACTCACGGTTCAGGGTTTAGGGTTTAGGGTTTAGGGTTTAGGGTTGTTGGTGGCTTGGGTCTCATCGAAAGGCAAGAGGCAGGGGCTTTTCTGTTTTATGATTCTGATTTTTGATGTGGCAGAGGTGGAAAGGACATGAATGAGATCTACCATCAGGACGTGTCGTCGCAGTTGCATATACCGCATGCATTGAGGTCATGAATTTGCCGGATGTCTGGAGCACCGAAGAGGATGAGGCGTGGGGGGGCTTACCGAAGAAGAGGCCCAGGATCTCCAGCGTGCGTCGGATAGATGCTGGAAAGAGAGAATTTAGGGTTTAGGGTTCGGGGTTTTGGGCTCAGGGTTTAGGGTTTAGGGTTGACAGAATGGTTCCCAAAACCATGCAAACCCCAAAGCCGTATATGAATCTGCACCCCAACGACAGCTGTATGTTTCAACCTCAACCCAGCATCTCAACATGGGCCCCCGTTTAAAAAGAAATGCAGCCTCTGCGGCCGGGAGACCCATCTCACAGAACCACGAACTTTCAAGAAGTGCTGAAGGAGGCCGACAGGAAGTGGACCAGTTTTGTAGGAAGTGGATCAAACTTAACTCCTAGAAACGCGAAACCCTAAACCCTAACCCTAAACCCTAATTTCTCTAAGAACGCTGAAATAACCCTCAGCCCTACCATGGCTGAAGGCAATGCGTTGGGCCGTCGTAGTTTTGACTACTTGCGACTTTACTGGCTTCGAGCTGAGCAAGGACGACAGCCCTGGACAAATCTCTTGTCTTGAAGCCCTCTCGAAATCGCAGCATTGCCAAAGTTCCGGCACCAGCACGAAACAGCATTAATCATGTGTCTCGACACGGAAAGTCAGCTCCCACCGGAACAGGTCAAGCATTTCATGACGTACTGCGACACGATGACCAGCGGGTTAGACCGAGTCCTCTTTGTGCACTCGACCGGCCATGAGGCGGGAGTGCGAAACGCTGCTTTTCTTCGGACATGCTGTTACAAACTCTAGACTCTAGACAACCCGGTACCCTCAAACCGTAAAGCCGCAAACCGCACAGCCGTAAAGCCTTGAAATCTTGCTACTGTCGTCAGTGCTATGCGCGAATACGGTTGCTGCGTTTCCTTCTTATCGTTATGATATGGGGGCTTCCGAAAATAGGGGACCCTAATATAGTAATAATAAATAGTATGACCCTTATATTATAAGGACCCCAAAATAAGGTACCCCTCGTTTTCGGAAACTCCCATATGCGCGCCTCCCAGTCATGTACCAGCTGCTGCCAGCTCAAGGGCGCACTGTCCAGGAGATGACGACCCTAAAGAACACTTCCCAGAGACTCCCAAACTCCTCAATTACGGAATGTATTTTAACTCATATCAGGGTTTCTATGTATATAGTTTATGGTATATTCTGTCAAGGGTTTACAGTTCTCACGCGCTTCGCATTGTGCACGTGTTTGGGGTTTTCCACTCTTTAGGATGCCTTGACTTTTCAATAATCCTCATGTCAGCACTCCATTCCCGAGGGCTGCAGGTGCCCAATTAAATAGTAGTTTGCTAACTCACCTAATATGTATTATAAACCCTAAACTCCATGGCCCTGAACACTGAAACCTCCGACACTGACACGCCCGGAACCCTAAACCCTAGAAACCCTAAACACTGAAACCCCCGGAGCCCTAAACCCCATACCCTGAACGCTGAAACCCCCGGAACCTAAACCCTATACCCTACACACTGAAACCCCCGGAACCCTAAAACCTAAACCCTCAACACTGAAACCCCCGGAACCCTACAACCCTATAAACCCTAAACCCTAAATCCTTAAACCCCTTAAGCCTAATCCCTAAACCCTAAACCGTGAACCCTCCCATGTTTTTGGGTAGCTTCAGGGCCCTGCAGGGTTGTTCCCCTCATTCCCTGCTCGAGCTGGAGACGGCCTGTGGCTCCTGCACCCACTTCCATCATGTTCTCTATATACTCCACCGCAGACCCCGTAATTGTGTTACATGTATGTATATATGTATGTACAATTCTCTCTCTATATATATATATACATACACACATACTGTGTGTATATATATATATATACACATGCACCAGTTTCATAGGACCCTGTAATGCTGCCCCCCCTACTGTATGGTAGTCTCTGATGGGGCTTAATTAGGATGTATGCTTCAGGATATTTCTCGGGTTCCAGAGTCCGTGGTGAAGCTTAGGATTCGGCGCTTTTGGCTTAGGGTCTAGGGCTTCGGTTTAGGGTTTAGGGTTTGGGGTGCCTGGACACTTCATCAGGGCTTGAGCTAGCTTAAGTACTTGAAGCCCTAGAGTTTCGGATCCAATACAAAGAGACATGCATGCACAACGAGCACCCCCCCAACCTTTAGGGTTGCGGGGTTTAGGGTTTAAGGCTTTTAGGGTTTAGGGTGATAGATTGAGTCGGGGCTGCGGCAGGTCTTCGAGATCGGCTAGGCGCGCAGGCAGGACGCGTTTGCTTATGCAGCGATGTTGCTTCCCAGGTGTTTATTTTGTTTGCTCTACCAGTCGCAAAATCTTAAGCGTAATTCCAAGACACAGCTGTCAGCAAATTGATGGGCCTGCATCCCTCAAAGGGATTTCTGTAGATGGTGCAGGACATGCCGCGCCGCGAATACCCTGGGATGCTGGTCTCGCAAACTGCTGTTTCGTAGCATCCGATTTCATCTGGTGTTCACACAGAGCTCATTTCGCCGTCTTGTCTTCTCTTGTCGTTTGTTGTAGCTATAACATGCTACTTGCAGTGATACCAAAGGACGTATCGTTTGGTGTTACAAAGCATGCAGAGATCATGGCTTTGACAAGTATACCTGTGGCGGTGGGAAGCCCCACGTGCAAGTCCTGTCCGCTGTGCTTTATTAAACAAATCTCTTCGAAAAGCCGGCAGCAAGCGCCAAACCTAAGTCCTAAATCTTGGGCTAAGTGAAAGTTAAACTGTCTAGCACCCTAAACCCTGAACATTCAGACCCTAAATCCTAAGCCCTGAACCTACAGAGAGGGCTTTCTGCATGCCGAAGCTCCCAAGCGACCAGACGTTGGCCATGTCAGCCGCTAGCCCTCAACTCTAGGCTTTTAGGTTTTAGGGTTTAGGGTTTTGGGTGAAGCCTCAACTGTACCTAGACCTTCAAGAACCTTTCCTTATGATGATTTCCCCCTCCAGAAGTCTGTAAAAAGGTAGGTTCCGCCGGTCTACGTAGACCACCTTAAACTCCTCAATGAAGACCATGAGGCATGAGCTGCGCACCTCTCAGATCCCAATCAGACCCCATACCTTGGACAGGGTTTAGGGTTCAGGGTTGCTGAGGTTTCTATTGCCAAAGGCGGTTCAAACAGTCTGCCCTCCTTTTCGCAGCTTAATGGCCACATCACATTGACCCTGAGTCTTTCTTCCTGGTCATGTTCAAGACAACCCTAAACCCAAAGCAAGACAGGGAAAACACACAACAAGAAACACAAGACAGGGCTAACACGCTTTTCCAAACTTTTTGCTCTTTGCCCGGCAAGGTCCTCTAGACCGCGGAATACACCAGCAAAGCAACAGCCCGAAACCGTGTACCTCGGAGCTGAAGTTTGAAGGATGTCGGGGGGAGTCCTAGCTCTTCAAGGACTGGTGATGAGTTTTATTAATTAATCTTCCATCTTTCTCCTGGCATACTAGCACCATTCATGCTGGTGCTGTGACTGGTTAAAGGCACACTTAGATGGCTCAATGTTCAAAGTTGCAGGATGCAATGTGGCAGGTTTCTTTTCACTCTCAGGGTGATGGTTCTGCGCAGTGAAGCTGCCTCAGGTGGGGACATTCATCGACAAAAGTAGATCCAATATTCCAGAGAATCTCGGCCGTGTTCACCTCTGGAGCCGGAGTAGCATGGGTTTGTGAGCAAAGTGCTCCAGTGGTATTCTCCAGGGATACGACAGGGAAATCAGAAATCCCGGGAAAGAGGACGACTTAAGCCGTGGCTTGAGAGAAAGCAACTCCGTTTCTTTTTGACGGAATGCTTGTTGCCGAAGGCTTCTAGCTGGCTTTTTGCATCCTGTTGCCAAGCAGCAGGGTGACTGTGCGGTTTGGGCTCAAGGCTCGACTGCGAACGCGCAGACCTTTGTCTACTTACGTAGTAGTAGGTATGAACGGTTAACGGTTTTGTGGTGCAGTACTCTAGTTCCCATCATATAACCCCAAAGATTGGCCTTGAGTTCCCGATATGGAGGTCTTCCCTTGAACCCTGGCCTCTGCCAACGTCCGGTGGGTTCCCTACTTGTTTCCCGAGAGAGAAGCAGGTTCGACCGGCCACGTCCGAGGAATGATCGAATGGATCACCTCGCATAGTCCCAAAGGGTCCAAAGTTCCTATATAGCAGAATGTAGGGGTTCTATATATATATATATATACAAATGTGTATAT